TTCACCTAACCCCCTTAATCGTAGGGTGTACCGAAGGATAAGGTGAGGTGAGTGTTGCCTGACTCCGGCTTCTAGCTGTCCGCCAGGTCTTACATCTTCCCTCTGGGTCAATGGAGGACCATCGAACAGGTGTATGCTCGAAGCCGAATTTATCTGGATGATGATTACTGGTGTCAGCTCCCGAGTGAACACAGCCTTAAGGATACGAAGCCTCCTACGATCGTCTGTGCGTATGATCATAGTGGCACACAATACGCACACGCATCACACAATACGCACACGCATCACACAATACGCACACGCATCACACAATACGCACACGCATCACACAATACGCACACGCACCACACAATACGCACACGCATCACACAATACGCACACGCATCACACAATACGCACACGCACACGCATCACACAATAAAAAAAGGAAAGATTGAGTGATTCATCACCCTCCAGATGATAGAAGATATATACGTAGAATGGAAAATAACCTCAAGTAAGTTTATAATAGTCAAAATGCTGTTGTGTTTAATGACCACGGCCGAGGGTGTTAAGAGTAAGACTTACCTCTGCCACGGCCGAGGGCATCGACCCGGAAGTTGGTGTGACCCGTCTCCCCGTCGGTAAGTTGACCCAGGCCGCCAGAGAGCCAGCCGCCCTTACGTGACCCGTCGTAGGTCAGGTCACGGAGGTTGTTGTCCCCCCCTCGGGGGTCACCCTCAGGCATCGTGTACGACACCAGTCCATCTGCAGGAGAGAAGGTTGTTCTGTCGTTAGTGGGAGCCGGGGAGGGTAGTTCTGTCATCAGTAGGGACCAGGGAGGGTAGTTCTGTCGTTATTGGGAGCCAGGGAAGGTAGTTCTGTCGTTATTGGTGGCCAGGGAGGGTAGTTCTGTCGTTAGTGGGGGCCAGGGAAAGTAGTTCTGTCGTTAGTGGGGACCAGGGAGGGTAGTTCTGTCGTTAGTGGGAGTCGGGGAGGGTAGTTCTGTCGTTAGTGGGGGCCAGGGAAGTAGTTCTGTCGTTAGTGGGGACCAGGGAGGGTAGTTCTGTCGTTAGTGGGAGTCGGGGAGGGTAGTTCTGTCGTTAGTGGGGGCCAGGGAAAGTAGTTCTGTCGTTAGTGGGGACCAGGGAGGGTAGTTCTGTCGTTAGTGGGAGTCGGGGAGGGTAGTTCTGTCGTTAGTGGGGACCAGGGAGGGTAGTTCTGTCATCAGTAGGGGACCGGGAGGGTAGTTCTGTCGTTATTGGTGGTCAGGGAAGGTAGTTCTGTCGTTATTGGTGGTCAGGGAAGGTAGTTCTGTCGTTAGTGGGAGCCGGGGAGGGTAGTTCTGTCATCAGTAGGGGCCAGGGAGGGTAGTTCTGTCGTTATTGGGGCCAGGGAAGGTAGTTCTGTCGTTATTGGTGGCCAGGGAAGGTAGTTCTGTCGTTATTAGGGGCCAGGGAGGGTAGTTCTGTCGTTATTGGTGGCCAGGGAGGGTTGTTCTGTCGTTATTGGGAGCCAGGGAGGGTAGTTCTGTCGTTATTAGGGGCCAGGAAAGGTAGTTCTGTCGTTATTGGGGGCCAGGGAGGGCAGTTCTGTCGTTATTAGGGGCCAGGAAAGGTAGTTCTGTCGTTATTGGGGGCCAGGGAGGGTAGTTCTGTCGTTATTAGGGGCCAGGGAAGGTAGTTCTGTCGTTATTGGGGGCCAGGGAGGGTAGTTCTGTCGTTATTAGGGGCCAGGGAAGGTAGTTCTGTCGTTATTAGAGACCAGGGAGGGTAGTTCTGTCGTTATTAGGGGCCCGGAAAGGTAGTTCTGTCGTTATTGGGGGCCAGGGAGGGTAGTTCTGTCGTTATTAGGGGCCAGGGAAGGTAGTTCTGTCGTTATTAGAGACCAGGGAGGGTAGTTCTGTCGTTATTAGGGGCCAGGGAAGGTAGTTCTGTCGTTATTAGAGACCAGGGAGGGTAGTTCTGTCGTTATTAGGGGCCAGGGAGGGTAGTTCTGTCGTTATTAGGGGCCAGGGGGAAAATAGTTCTGTCAATTGTAGGCTTATATATAAGCCTCACTAAAATGCTTTCTATACATCAGCTTTAAATTCCCATCGTCGAGGACAGGAAGTCTGCAGGAGGCTTATTAAGTCCCCCCCCCCCCACGTAGGTCAACTTCTGACCTTTCGCAGGATTTAATGGGTAAAACAAGTGTAAACAGGAACTTACGGGAGAAGTTGAGAGTTTAGACTTACGCCGCGCCAGACGGCCATATCAGAGTCCTGTAACCTACCAATAGTCTTACCACTGCACTACGCTGCGATATTACTCCGAACGCCATGTACGGACTTCGCTACAATATAGCGGTGGGACTCACCAGTGTAGCGGCAGCCGTAGACCTACGCTACAATATAGCGGTGGGACTCACCAGTGTAGCGGCAGCCGTAGACCTACGCTACAATATAGCGGTGGGACTCACCAGTGTAGCGGCAGCCGTAGACCTACGCTACAATATAGCGGTGGGACTCACCAGTGTAGCGGCAGCCGTAGACCTACGCTACAATATAGCGGTGGGACTCACCAGTGTAGCGGCAGCCGTAGACCTACGCTACAATATAGCGGTGGGACTCACCAGTGTAGCGGCAGCCGTAGACCTACGCTACAATATAGCGGTGGGACTCACCAGTGTAGCGGCAGCCGTAGACCTACGCTACAATATAGCGGCGGGACTCACCAGTGTAGCGGCAGCCGTAGACCTCCACCCTCATGCACACTGTACGGGGGTGGTCGCTGTAGGGCACAAACCTCACCCTGGCCGCTATAATGGGTGGACTCAACTGTGAGGTCTGGGCCAGGTACGTGTTCGTGTTCCCTTCCAGTAGCTGTGGGAGAGTGGGAGAGGTGAGTGTGGGAGAGTGGGAGAGGTGAGTGTGGGAGAGATGAGTGTGGGAGAGGTGAGTGTGGGAGAGGTGAGTGTGGGAGAGGTGAGTGTGGGAGAGTGGGGGAGGTGAGTGTGGGAGAGTAGGAGAGGTGAGTGTGGGAGAGTGGGAGAGGTGAGTGTGGGAGAGAGAGGGGGAGAGGTGAGTGGGGGAGAGGTGAGTGTGGGAGAGTGGGAGAGGTGAGTGTGGGAGAGAGGGGGAGAGGTGAGTGTGGGAGAGAGGGGGAAAGGTGAGTGTGGGAGAGAGAGAGGGAGAGGTGATTGTGGGAGAGAGTGGGAGAGGTGAGTGTGGGAGAGAGGAGGAGAGGTGAGTGTGGGAGAGAGTGGGAGAGGTGAGTGTGGGAGAGAGGGGGAGAGGTGAGTGTGGGAGAGAGGGGGAGAGGTGAGTGTGGGAGAGAGTGGGAGAGGTGAGTGTGGGAGAGAGGAGGAGAGGTGAGTGTGGGAGAGAGTGGGAGAGGTGAGTGTGGGAGAGAGGAGGAGAGGTGAGTGTGGGAGAGAGGGGGAGAGGTGAGTGTGGGAGAGAGGAGGAGAGGTGAGTGTGGGAGAGAGGGGGAGAGGTGAGTGTGGGTGAGAGAGAGAGAGGTGAGTGTGGGAGAGAGTGGGAGAGGTGAGTGTGGGAGAGAGGAGGAGAGATGAGTGTGGGAGAGAGGGGGAGAGGTGAGTGTGGGAGAGAGGGGGAGAGGTGAGAGGGGGAGAGGTGAGTGTGGGAGAGAGGGGGAGAGGTGAGTGTGGGAGAGAGGGGAGAGGTGAGTGTGGGAGAGAGAGAGGAGAGGTGAGTGTGGGAGAGAGTGGGAGAGGTGAGTGTGGGAGAGAGAGAGGAGAGGTGAGTGTGGGAGAGAGTGGGAGAGGTGAGTGTGGGAGAGAGAGAGGAGAGGTGAGTGTGGGAGAGAGGGGGAGAGGTGAGTGTGGGAGAGAGAGAGGAGAGGTGAGTGTGGGAGAGAGTGGGAGAGGTGAGTGTGGGAGAGAGAGAGGAGAGGTGAGTGTGGGAGAGAGGGGGAGAGGTGAGTGTGGGAGAGAGAGAGGAGAGGTGAGTGTGGGAGAGGTGAGTGTGGGAGAGAGTGGGAGAGGTGAGTGTGGGAGAGAGAAGGGAGATGATTCTTAAAGATAATAATAATTATCATTAGTAGTTGTTGTATATTTTAATAAATTATTGAAATAATTAATTGTAAAAATAATTGCAATAATAATTATCCGAACAAAATAAACAGAATATCCATGCAAACTAATAATTAAAAAAAAAACATAGATTACAAGGAAGAAATGCGAACAAACGGATTAATTACAAAATTTCACAAGAGGTTTATATGAATCCAAATTACAGAGCGTTCCCGTCCAATTTGCCAGCCTTATGAGCCTCTTGGAGGGGAATTGAAGTTGAAGTTGTAAATAGTTGAAAATGAAGGGGGATTGATGGCAGATTTTTCCCCTATATGATGCTTTGAACCTGATAGAATTGTTGCGAGTCTCTCAGCATCAGATAATTGTTTCCTGTTGAAAGGGCCGCTGTCATTGGCCGAGCTCTGTTACGTCATGCTGAAAGGGCTACTGTCATTGGTGGATAGTGTTACGTCATGCTGAAAGGGGCCACTGTCATTGGTGGATAGTGTTACGTCATGCTGTAAGGGCTACTGTCATTGGTGGATAGTGTTACGTCATGCTGTAAGGGCCACTGTCATTGGTGGATTGTGTTACGTCATGCTGTAAGGGCTACTGTCATTGGTGGATAGTGTTACGTCATGCTGTAAGGGCCACTGTCATTGGTGGATAGTGTTACGTCATGCTGTAAGGGCCACTGTCATTGGTGGACACTACTATTGGCAGGCCATCAGGGGTTCAGAACGAGTAGTGAACACGTCGTGGATCAATGATTCATGACGACCGGGACCACCAGTGGTGTACGTACTGACCACTGGTTGTCCTCGACCAGGCACTTAGGGCTCACTGGTCATTACTATTTGGTTCACTGGGTGTCCAGGACCAGTTCACTACTCGTTCAGTACTTGCACCTCCTCGCCACGACCGTCGCTGTAAGTGGTCCAGTGGACCACCGGGCCACCAGTGGGCCATGCCGGGCCACCAGTGGACCACACCGGGCCACCAGTACTCACCTCCTCGCCACGACCGTCGCTGTAAGTGGTCCAGTGGGCCATGCCGGGCCACCAGTGGTCCAGTGGACCACACCGGACCACCAGTACTCACCTCCTCGCCACGACCGTCGCTGTAAGTGGTCCAGTGGGCCATGCCGGGCCGCCAGAGCTGGAGCTTGTACTGCTTGGCGAACTCTCTGCCCTGACCGTTGCCAAACCTGCCCTGGACCTCCACCTTGGTGACGACGTGGAGGCCGCCAAGGTTAACCTCCAGGTACTGGAGGCCCTCCTGGTACACCATCTCCCTCGGGCACCACGCCCCTCCTCCCACCTCCACGTGCGCCCTGTACCCAACAAGAAAAACATCAGTAAACAGCAAAATATCCCTGCGGGCTCGCCATAGCCCGTGCTACTTGGAACTTTTTGTTCCAAGTAGCGAATCTTAAACAACAAAAAACTTAGTGGAGGCTGCGATAGATCTGTATAAATTATTAGATTTAGCAGTAAGTGGACTCTGAAAGGACCTGAGAAGATGTTGGAAGATTATCGATTTAAGGAACGAATTAACGGGTAGCATAATATATGTGGGAAAGGGGGGGGTGGGAAGGGGAATCTTGGGTGTTTCAAGCGTAGGACAGACAAATATTTTAGTGAGTTTGGTTAGGTTAAATAGGGACAGCTTTATATACAGCCTGAGGACAGTAATATTCCGGGAACTGTAATAAAAATCTATTATACCTGAGGCAGAGTGAACGCTCCTTGTCCTCATATCCCTTCCTTGTGCTATATACTCATACTGACTTAGCATCTTCTCCTCATAATTACCTTACCCTAACAGCTGGTGCAACACTCAAACAGGATAACATCAGCGGCGTATGAGAAACGGACTAGAAACCAGGGGCCAGATTCACGAAGCAGTTACGCAAGCACTTACAAACCTGTACATCTTTTTATCAATCTTTGGCGGCTTTGTTTACAATTATTAAACAGTTAATGAGCTCCGAAGCACCAGGAGGCTGTTTATAACAATAACAACAGTTGATTGGGAAGTTTTCATGCTTGTAAACTGTTTAATAAATGTAAACAAAGCCGTCGAAGACTGAGGAAAGACGTACACGTTCGTAAGTACTTGCGTAACTGCTTCGTCAATCTGGCCCCAGATCTTCAGAAGTGACTGGCGTGTAGAGCCCTGCAGTCCTTCAAGGACCTGGTCGTAGGATCACTCAGTATGCGATACAGTGACGAAGGGAGTCTTTGAGCTCACCGTATAACACAGTAACTATGCCACGCTGTGCTACCGTGCCACAGTGCCTCACTGTCACAGTGAAGCATTAATAGCTACCTACACACTTTCACTATATCAATTCCAAACAATATTACAAATGAATTGAATAAAAACATGAATAATAGAATGAAAAAACTCATTCCACGAATAATTGAACAAGTGCACACTATGAACAATTGAATGAACAAGTTCACACCATGAACAATTGAATGAACAAATACAGTGTGAATAACTGAATGAACAAATACACACTATGAACAACTGAATGAACAAATATACACCATGAACAACTGAATGAACAAGTTCATATTATGAACAACTGAATGAACAAATTTACACCATGAACAACTGAATGAACAAATACACACTATGAACAACTGAATGAACAAATATACACCATGAACAACTGAATGAACAAGTTCATATTATGAACAACTGAATGAACAAATTTACACCATGAACAACTGAATGAACAAATACACACTATGAACAACTGAATGAACAAGTTCACACCATGAACAACTGAATGAACAAATACACACTATGAATAACTGAATGAACAAATACACACTGTGAATAACAATGAACAAATATACACCATGAACAACTGAATGAACAAATTTACATCATGAACAACTGAATGAACAAATACACACCATGAACAACTGAATGAACAAATACACACCATGAACCACTGAATGAACAAATACACACCATGAACCACTGAATGAACAAATACACACAATGAACAACTGAATGAACAAATACACACCATGAACAACTGAATGAACAAAGAACAAATGCAAGAACACGACGGCTTGAGGACAAATATATGTAAAACCCAGCTATTTAATTAAAACAGTTATTTACAGTTATTAACCTCAATTGCAGAGAACAGTTAGACATGTGTGTCCTCGTTCGTGCATCCAAGTAGTTCAGACGGTCGCCACCTAGTTTCACTGACCTCTTAACAACTCAATTAACGATCCAGTTAACGACGTAAGGAGGCCATTATTGACCACTCAAGCAATACAGAAAGACAATAGAGTCTAGGCTCAATATAGAGTCTCTATTGGCGTTATATAGAAGGGGGAAGGGGTGGGATGGAGGTGGGATGTGGGGGAAGGGGATTTCGGATGGGATTTGGGGTGGGATATAAAGGTTTGCGTTGCGATTGTGGGGGGGGGGGGATGGAGATTTCGGGTGGGATGGGAGGGTGTGGTGGGAGAGAAGAGAGAGAGAATGGGTGATTAGGGTGGGATGGGTGTTTGGGTTGTTGGCTTGGGGTGGGATAGAAGGGTAGGAACTCGATGTTTATTTTGTTCACTGGGATGGGGTTTTGGAGATGGGATGGGTGTAAGATGGAGATGTTGATGGGATGGAATTGAGGCGGGTGGGAGTGTATTGGGGTCACTTGACAATGTCTGGCTATCAAGAGTGCCACCAAATGACTCGTAGAAGTCAAGAGTGCCACTAAATGCCTCGTAGAAGTCAAGAGTGCCACCAAATGACTCGTAGAAGTCAAGAGTGCCACTAAATGCCTCGTAGAAGTCAAGAGTGCCACCAAATGCCTCGTAGAAGTCAAGAGTGCCACTAAATGCCTCGTAGAAGTCAAGAGTGCCACTAAATGACTCGTAGAAGTCAAGAGTGCCACTAAATGACTCGTAGAAGTCAAGAGTGCCACTAAATGACTCGTAGAAGTCAAGAGTGCCACTAAATGACTCGTAGAAGTCAAGAGTGCCACTAAACGACTCGTAGAAGTCAAGAGTGCCACTAAATGCCTCGTAGAAGTCAACACTACCCCCTAGAACTAAGCTAATAGTGTCGATAGACCAGGAAGACAACCAGCAATACACGACTTTATGGACTTAACCATATCTACAGAACAGCAAAAGCAGGTAACCGGTTACCGTAGAGAGAGTGCCATTGAGCGAACCGGTATTTAGACAGGGTCAATAAACAGTGCCATGGTCAAATCAGCCTCTCCGGGGCAGTCAGGGAGGGCCACCAAACAACTGGAGGGCGGCAGTTCACTAGACGAGGCGTGAGAGCCAACAGTGCCTCGCCCTGGCACTCAACGACCTGAGATTAATGAGGTGACGACTGAGAAATGGCGGAGCTGGATGTCAAGGCGATAAAAAATGGCGACTAATGAATGGTGAGATAATTGATGGTGAGAGACGACGAGAGGAGGTGCAACCCGTGTGGTACACTGGTGCAGTCTCTGTGGTACACTGGTACACTGGTGCAATCTCTGTGGTACACTGGTACACTCCTGTGGTACACTCCTGTGGTACACTGGTACACTCCTGTGGTACACTGGTACAGTCTCTGTGGTACACTGGTGCAGTCTCTGTGGTACACTGGTGCAGTCTCTGTGGTACACTGGTGCAGTCTCTGTGGTACACTGGTGCAGTCTCTGTGGTACACTCTCTGTGGTACACTGGTGCAGACTCTGTGGTACACTGGTGCAGTCTCTGTGGTACACTGGTACAGTCTCTGTGGTACACTGGTACAATCTGTGGTACACTGGTACAATCTCTGTGGTACACTGGTACAGTCTCTGTGGTACACTGGTGCAGTCTCTGTGGTACACTGGTACAGTCTCTGTGGTACACTGGTACAGTCTCTGTGGTACACTGGTACAATCTGTGGTACACTGGTACAATCTCTGTGGTACACTGGTACAGTCTCTGTGGTACACTGGTGCAATCTGTGGTACACTGGTACACTCCTGTGGTACACTGGTACAATCTCTGTGGTACACTGGTACAGTCTCTGTGGTACACTGGTGCAATCTGTGGTACACTGGTACACTCCTGTGGTACAATCTCTTTGGTACACTGGTACACTCCTGTGGTACACAGGTACACCCCTGTGGTACAACGTGTATGGTACACCCCTGTGGTACACTGGTACACCCCTGTGGTACACTGGTACACCCCTGTGGTACAACTTGTATGGTACACTGGTACAGTCTCTGTGGTACACTGGTACACCCCTGTGGTACAACTTGTATGGTACACTCCTGTGTGAATGATCATGTTTCCATTTTTCTTCTTATGTATTATGTAAAAGATGGAGTCAGCACAGCTCCCCGTGACTTTGTGGTTACCTTGTGTTCGTTCCGAGGATCAACGTCCCCGCGGCCCGGTCTCTGACCAGGCCTCTGGGGTTGGTGGTCCGGTCAACCAAGCTGTTAGACACATGAGAGCTGAGAACGTCGTGTAATTACACTGTAACATCTCTCAGCTTCATAATGTCTCTCATCCTTGAATCGTAAAATTTAAGTATTTTCTGTGTTCTTATTGTTTCAAGCTTAGGTTAGACGTATATTAGAATGAGTTTTTGAGGTTATAAATAGGAGCTGCCTTGCATAGGTCTACAGGCCCTCCGTGGTGTCCTGAATTCTCCGTATTCCTATGTAACTCTGGGAAGCATTTTGGTTTAATTTTAGGATGATGTCTGTGAGGATTCCATGACTCTATGGAGCAAACTCCTGTCACTTCATCAAAATTTCAGTAAAATTCATGTACATGATTGCAGCTGTGATGATTTTGGGCGTTTTTTATGTAGTTTATCAGAATTCAAAATCATTTGAAGTGAGACAGAACTGTAGCGCCTAATAATCCACGGAAGCTTAGATTCCACCCAAACTTCTTCCTCGACCCCACAGATGGCGCTGAGCACTGAATTAGCATAATATGAGGCGTTATGCCCTGCAGGAAGAGGCGCTGTTTTGGTATCGTAGTACCTCTCTCTCTCTCTCTCTCTCTCTCTCTCTCTCTCTCTCTCTCTCTCTCTCTCTCTCTCTCTCTCTCTCTCTCTCTCTCTCTCTCTCTCTCTCTCTCTCTGTCTGTCTGTCTGTCTGTCTCTCTCTCTCTCTCTCTCTCTCTCTCTCTCTCTCTCTCTCTCTCTCTCTCTCTCTCTCTCTCTCTCTCTCTCTCTCTCTCTCTCTCTCTCTAACGGCTTTGTTCAGAATCTAAATTTCAAACAAAATGGTAGCAAAATTTCCCCCTAAAATACAGAAGAATGCATGACAGGAGTTTTACATAATATACGACTCCATCCATTATTCCTAATCCAGAAATAAAAGGATACACAATATAATTGAAAAGAGCAATTTGGCCACCAGTTGGTGAATATAGTTTTTGTATTTTGAACTACCTACAAACTTTACAACCTCACCTAACCTTACATAACTTAAAAATTCCCGTTTTCGGGGACAGGAAGCCTGCAATGGTCAATCGACTTGATAATGGTCCAGGACGGACCGACACGTCGTCGCCAACTCATCTTTTGGTGTGTGGTTTGCTCATCATATCTTCAGTCACGTTATTGTGACTCATCGTCTGAATGCGATGAGTCTGAATAGGCTTAAGCTTAAAGTCCCTTAAGGGTCTATAACAACTTGTCGACCTTCTCCAGAATGCAACCAACAACAGCTGCCTAACTCCTGGGCACCTATTTAGTACTAGGTGAATCGAGGCATTTGGTGGAAGAAAACGTGCCCAATTATTTCTGCCGCGCCCGGGAAATTGGAACCCGGGTTCCTTAAAGTAAAATTCAACACATGAAACAAGTAATTCAGATAAACATTCTGAAATGTCAATGTTGTTATGTTCATTTAATAGCTCACAAAGTTAGAACAAAAACTAAACAAAATAATGGTCATGAGATTGTGAACACGGCCGTATCCAAGACAAGAGACTCAGACGCATATAATAACATTGTTGACATTGGAGGTTGTCCTCACCTGCCATAGATGGCGTTGACGGCGGCGTCAAAGTAGGAGGAGGCGGAGATGTGGTCGTCGGGGATGGCGCCCGACTGCATCCCCAGCGCAGCATCACACTGGCCTGGCGGGAGATGAACCAGATGGGTGAATCTCAGGACACTCGTTCGATACCTCTGACTCAAGACCCATGCAAATAATACAGATGTGCGCATTTTAACCCTTCCTATAGAGGAATGAAACAGAACAACTTAGGGGCCAGGGGTCAGATTCACGAAGCAGTTACGCAAGCACTTACGAGCCTGTATATCTTTTCTCAGTCTTTGGCGGCTTTGTTTACAATTATTAAACAGTTGATGAGCTCCGAAGCACCAGGAGGCTGTTTATAACAATAACAACAGTTGATTGGGAAGTTTTCATGCTTGTAAACTGTTTAGTAAATGCCACCAAAGCCGTCAAAGATTGAGGAAAGATGTATACGTTCGTAAGTACCTGCGTAACTGCTTCGTGAATCTGGCCCCAGGATTATTTAGGTTCTTACGTGTCGACTGACGAAACCTTTACATCTTACCTCATTCATGGCGACTTAGTTTACACACATTAAACACTTTATGAGCTTCGAAGTACAACCAGGATATCTATAATAATAATAATTACCTTGGGTTGTGAAGTTTACAAGCTCGTAAAATGCTTAACAAATAGTGAGTCAACTGCCACCAGGAAAGATGTACAGGTTCCGTAAGAAAACGCGAAAATGCTTGACGAATCCTGGCCCTAGTTTTGGGGGACAAGTGTGAAACAAATGTTGAATAATTCCCTTTGTAGGGGACAGGAAGCCTGTATATAGGCTTATCGAGAACCCCCCCCCCCTCGTCGGTAAAGAATACTGACCCTCTCCAGGATCCAACCCCACAACAGTTGTCTAACTCCCGGATATCTATTTACCGCTGGGTGAACTGAGGCATCAGGTGAACGGAAACGTGCTTAACCATTTCTGCCCCGTCCAGGAATTAAACCTAGGAGTATCTATTGAGTTGAGGACGTAGACCATTGTACTACAGAATCCTAACATGTAGTACGCAGTACAAGAATGGAACCCGAACATTACAATAACGAGAACGACAACATTGGTTTTCGATAAGGCTAGTAGCAAACCAGAGAGAGAACCGGGATGTAATGACTGGTTAAAGAGATATCTTTTCGCCCTTTGTACAGACAAGTAGACGACACTGTAACCCATCGTGCAAAAGACAAGAACCTCGTCACAGTAGAGAGGCGGGACTCAAGAGCCAAAGCTCAACCCCCGCAGGCACAACTACATGAGTACAGGATACTTGATCACATCTTACGACATATGAGATTAAGAAACAAGTAGTGTATTGTGAAAACTAATAATAAACAGCAGCTCCCCTATGACTCTGTGATATCTCCATTGGTCAAACTATTATGTATTAGTGATAAGACCTACACTTAATGAATAACGACTTGCTGTATATATATAGCTCTTGAAATAGAACAGTCTCTGTAACTAGCTGATATGTAACTATAAGGTGTGAAGGATAGATGAAATTGTTTATGTAATAATCTAAGATGAGGTCTGACAAAGACCTTTTGTGCCCTCTGTAATGCTTTTTGCGCTACCGCTCACAGGATGAGCATGAGGTGCACAATAAACTAGCCGTCTCCGGCGGCAACAATCAATCTTACAAAAGACAAGAACCACAGGATACTTGATCACATCTTACAAAAGACAAGAACCGTTGACCCAACTTCTTGTCTTTTCATCAGACCACTTTTACCTCAACTAATATCGCGTTGCATTTCCTCAGAATCACTTAACTTAATTCAACTTTGCTTCAAAGACTACGCTAAAACTTACTAAGTTTCCAATGATGTATTTGTCCCTCTAATCTACTTAAAACTTGAACTTGTAAACTCACTCAGATATCGACCAGTTTACTTCTTAAGTATACAACTTAAGAGCCCATCTCCAACTTTCAGTATATCTAATCTTGTCAAGCAAGATTAGTCCTGAGAGCAATAGCGGGAAGACTCCAGGTGAAAGAGTCTCTCTCTCTCTCTCTCTCTCTCTCTCTCTCTCTCTCTCTCTCTCTCTCTCTCTCTCTCTCTCTCTCTCTCTCTCTCTCTCTCTCTCTCTCTCTCTCTCTCTCTCTCTCTCTCTCTCTCTCTCTCTCTCTTTCTTTCTTTCTCACTCACTCACTCACTCACTCACTCACTCACTCACTCACTCACTCACTCACCTGTGTGCAGAGTCGTGACCTCGGAGACGCCTCGTACTGCCAGCACCAGCGCGACCAGGAGAAACCTCACACTAGGTACTAGGTCACCTGGTCCTCTCCAGAGACCTCCAGTTCCTCTTCTTAGTCTGCAACCGTCCAGTTTCAGGTCTTCAGATCCTTGTTTCGGGTCCCCGGGTCCACGTTTCGAGTCCCCACAACCTCGTTTCGGATCCCCGGAGCCTCGTTCCTGGTCACCAGTTCGTAATGACCCTGTTCCATAGCCAGGTTGTCGTACTTCCATTTTACCTGGTTTTGCAATGCCGCAAGGCCTTTGCCTCATTTCCAGGACCCTCCTCCCCCCTGGCTAGCAGGTCGGACAGGGTTTCATCTGGAACGTACACACACGCACACACACACACGCACGCACACGCACTATTCGTGTTATTGATCGTTAAACTAGTTTGGTTAACTGAATGTGTTTTATTTCCATTCCAGTAATCCTGGACATTCCAGGAACGTCATCGCTGACAAGGGGGACGCTTTTTAACTTCGCAGTGGACAAAAAGTTGGGCTGGAATGGCCAATTTTGCACTTCTGTTTCTGTGAGAATAACCTTTAATCTCACGCTGGTGACTGTAAACAACGTCATTTACATTGTCATTGCCAGGCTGGTGAGGTGAAACGACTAGAGTTTAATCTATTTTCAGTTGCTGCGTAAAATTAAACACGATAGTTTTCGATAAAAAAAATATCCCAAAACTAGAATTCTCCGGAGCTGATATTGGTTTTATTCTTTTCGAGTATTCTTCGTGTATGAAAATTATTTCGCTTTGCTGGAGTGTGGAAACTGCCTCATCTATCCTCCAACAGCCGTAAGTCTCTTGATTAAATAAGATACAAATTCTCCCTCTTTATCAGGGATACGAAAGCACCATTATTTACACTTAAAATTCTGGGGATTGGCACAATAAAATTTATGTTCCTTTTTCAAGGAATCCTGGAAAACATCTCTATTTACACTTGAAATTCCAAGCGGATTGTCTGGTGAGAGATTTATGTTCCTTCTTAGCTGGAAGCTGGAAACACAGCCATTTAAACTTTCTTCGCCAGCTGGCAGATGGATAAGTTCTGATAGCTGGAGCTGGGTGGGGTGTTCCAGCACTAGTTCTGGATATCCAGTAGTATTATGTCTTCCAGCAAGGGTTCTGGAAGATGTACTAGTGTTTTGCAAGAAGATCTAAAGATGTGTGAGGTATTCCAGGACGGGTTCTGGAAGAAACTCTGAAGACGTGTAAAGTATTCCAGTGCGGGTTCTGGACGACGTGCTAGAGGAATGTGAAATGTTCCTGTGTGTTGTAAGGAAGAAGCACTACAGACGTGTTATCTGTTCCAGCACGCTTTCTGGATGATACTTTTGAGATGTGCCATGTGTTCCAGCACGGGTTATGGAAGCAGCACTAGAGAAGTTTCGTCTTCCAGCGTGGTTTTGGAAGATGCATGACGTGTTCCAGTTTGGGTTCTGGAACAACCACTAGACGTGCGAAGGGTATTCCAGCACGAGACCTGGAAAAATCATTAGCCCCAGGAAAATTGTGAAGTTCTGTATATAGGGTCTACAAGAATCGGTCTGGAAGAGGCAAGTTTTACTCAAGATGCATCACGTGTTCCAGGACAAGTTCGTAAAGTGTCCGTCTGGAAGCTCTGCGCCTTCTTGAAGGGTTCTTTGCTGGACCAGGAGTAGAAGATCCACGCTTGCTGGAATGAGAAGAAATTTGAAGACTTTAGTGCCCATGCAACATGGTTGATGGTGCGCTCTCTCTCTCTCTCTCTCTCTCTCTCTCTCTCTCTCTCTCTCTCTCTCTCTCTCTCTCTCTCTCTCTCTCTCTCTCTCTCTTTCTTTCTTTCTAAAAAGATGTCTACAGTTAATACCAGTAAATTATAATAAAATAAAACATTATCTCAGCAGGAATAACAAATGTTTAGTCAAGAAATTTAACATGTTTTGAAAGCAACGCTTCATGACAATCGGGCTACATGTTAAAATTGGGTTTTGGTACATATCACTGTGTGAAAGTTGTCTTGGTTCCTGGATAGAAAGTATCATTTTCTGATTGCTTATAGAATGGAAAATGGCTATTATTAACCTCAAACTTTGACCTTTGCCTTAACTTATTGAAGACATCTTGAAGGCACCAGAAGGCTGCCGACTTATGAAACAATGTCACAGCTCTAGTTAAGGAGTCAGCAACGTTCATGTACCTTTAACACGTCTGACCTAAGCTGTGTGAGGACAGCAAAGCAAAGTTTGAGAAGGAATAAAAGCAATTTTCTATTCTTTGGAGGCATAATTAATCAGGTATTCTTTGGAGGCACAATCAATCATGTATTCTTTGGAGGCATAATTAATCATGTATTCTTTGGAGGCATAATCAATCATGTATTCTTTGAAGGCATAATCAATCATGTATTCTTTGGAGGCACAATCAATCATGTATTCTTTGGAGACATAATCAATCATGTATTCTTTCGAGGCATAATCATGTATTGTTTGGAGGCATAATCAATCATGTGTTCTTTGGAGGCACAATCAATCATGTGTTCTTTGGAGGCATAATTCTTTGAAGGCATAATCAATCAGAAAATACCAGTCTTGACTCAGAGCCCAAAATTGTGTTACAGAGAATATTTTTACAATATTATTATCATTAAAATATGTAGCAGTCTTGAAAAATTCATTGTAATGTTTGATTAACCTTTGTCTTAAATATAAAAAGGTCCCCCTTTTACATAGAGGGGAGAGTCTTAAGACGATTACGTGCCAGTATCGACCATAGCCTCTGTCTCCCCAACAACCACTGATCCTTTAAGGTAATTCCAGTCTTTGTGCTTCCTTTCCCCTAACCCTCTCCCCTTTTTCCCCCCTCACCACCCTTTTTCCCTTAACACATTTCCCCCTCCTTTCCACACCCTCCCCTCCCCTAACTCCTTACTTCTTCCTCCAATAAATAGTGGTTAATTTTAACAGACTTTTATATTGGGATTAAAAGCTCCGGGGGTTATATGTATAATCTTATAAACATGTATATATCTAGGGTTTTCATATAGATATCTTGACCAACGTAATACATATCTTGATTTAAGTAATACATGATATATGTGGTACATATCTTGGCCTACGTAATACATATCTTGGTCTATATAATTCATGTCTTGGCCTACGTGATGAATATCTTGGCCTTTGTAATGCATGTAATGTAATGCAAGTAATTTTTTTTGTAATGCATATGGCGCACACACACACACACACACACACACACACACACACACACACACACACACACACACACACACACACACACACACACACACACACACACACACACACACACACACACACACACACACACACACACACACACACACACACACACACACACACACACACACACACACACTCACACACACTCACACACACACACTCACACACACACACACACACACACACACACACACACACACACACACACACACGAGGGCTAAGGAATATCGAACACTACACAGTCACAGGTGTAAAATATAAGTAGACGCTCAAGTAATTAGCCAAGACCAGGAGGAGAAGAGCAACAGAAAACGATAAGGAAATATGTAAGATGTAAACAAAAGTTTCCAGCAAGTGTCGAAACTAATTAACCAAACCGCTTACATTGCTACGTATTATAACACACCTGATCATCGTAATATTTACGTTTCCTACTCCTCGGACTCGGACTATTGGATTGGTTCCAGGGTCCTACACTTGGACTGGACGGTAGAGCGACGGTCTCGCTTTGTGCCGACGGACGGCGTTCAATCCCCCGACCGTCCAAGTGGTTGGGCACCATTCCTTTCCCCCCGTCCCGTCCCAAATTCTGAGCCCTTGCCAGTGTTATATAGGCGTAATGGCTTGGAGCTTTCTCCTGGTAGTTCCCTTCCCTGGTCTCAGCTGGGTGCTGTTGTCAGACCGGCAACCTCCCACCGCACAGGTAATTGTTGCTTAATTCCTTTAAAGGTGTAGTGGTGGTGGTGGTGGTGGTGGTGGTGGTGGTGGTGGTGGTATTAGCAGTGGTGGTGGTGGCATTAGCTGCGGTGGTGGTGGCATTAGCTGTGGTGGTGGTGGTGGTATTAGCAGTGGTAGTGATGGTGGTAGTGGTAGTGGTAATGGTATTGGTGGTTTTAGTGGTTGTGGTAGTGGTGATGGTATTAATAGTGGTGGTGGTGATCAGAAATAACATTGATAGGGGGGGGGTGTAATGTGTGGATGGGAAGGGGGAAAATGGGTGCCTGTCTCTAACCCCCCCCACTCCCCCCTCCCCCCCCATAACCTTCCACTGCCACCTGGAAGAAACTACGTAAAACCTCCCCCCCCCTTCCCTCCTCACCCCCTGCCCCACCTCCTCTTCCCTCACCCTTCCCTGCTTCCCCTCACTCTTCTTGATCGATATACCGATTCCTCCATTGACTATTCTTCTCCTTAATGATGCCATGGGGACGTAGGGAGCTGAGGGGCAAGGTGTTGCGGGATGAAGGTGAGGGAAGTGAGGGGTGAGGGGAGAGGGAAGTGAGGGGAGAGGGAAGTGAGGGGTGAGGGAAGTGAGGGGAGAGGGAAGTGAGGGGAGAGGGAAGTGAGGGGTGAGGGGTGAGGGAAGTGAGGGGAGAGAAGTGGAGGGGACGAAGGGAAAGAGAAAATGGGAGGTGGGAGGGGTTATCTTGAGATGATTTCGGGGCTTTAGTGTCCCCGCGGTCCGGTCCTCGACCAGGCCTCCACCTCCCAGGAAGCAGCCCGTAGCAGCTGTCTAACTCCCAGGTACCTATTTACTGCTAGGTAACAGGGGGCATCAGGGTGGAAAACATTTTGCCCATTTGTCTCCGCCTCTACCGGGGATCGAAGCCGGAACCTCAGGATTACGAATCCGAAGCGCAGTCCACTCAGCTGTCAGGGAGGGGGATGGACGGGGAAGACTTTCTCTGGTAATTATTTGATTTCTTATTGGAGCGACGACTGGATCAGTCTACCGTCTACTTCTTACTGGTGCATCAACGTGCTCAGTCTACCGTCTACTAGGCTTCTTACTGTAGTTCCAACGACCTCAATTTACCGTCAAATTGTCTTTTTTGCTGGCGCAAAAAAAAGGCATCAATCTACTATCTACTTGACATCTTATTGGAAATCACCGTCCTCAATCTGCCGTCTACTTTGCTTCTTACTGGCGCACCAGTGTGCTCAATCTACTATCTACCTAGATTGTTATTAGTGCATCAACTGGCTCAATCTATCGTTATCTTGAGATCTTGAGATGATTTCGGGGCTTTATTGTCCCCGCGGCCCGGTCCTCGACCAGGCCTCCACCCCCAGGAAGCAGCCCGTGACAGCTGACTAACACCCAGGTACCTATTTTACTCCTAGGTAACAGGGGCACAGGGTGAAAGAAACTCTGCCCCTTGTTTCTCGCCGGCGCCTGGGATCGAACCCAGGACCACAGGATCACAAGTCCAGCGTGCTGTCCGCTCGGCCGACCGGCTCCCATCGTGCATTTGCTCACCAAAAGCTTCAATTTACCGGCGTCTTATTGGCGAACCAGCGGCCTCAGTCTACCATATAGAGCGATGGAAGGTAAGCGGGAAGGAGGAAAGGTATAAGGAAGGGTAGGAGAATTAAGAAGAGGGAAAGAAGATGCGTGATTGGAGGAGATATGGAGTACCTTGAAGGTTTCCTTGAGGTGCTTCCGGGGCTTAGTGTCCCCGCGGCCCGGTCGTCGACCAGGCCTCCTGGTTGCTGGACTGATCAACCAGGCTGTTGGACGCGGCTGCTCGCAGCCTGACGTATGAGTCACAGCCTGGTTGATCAGGTATCCTTTGGAGGTGCTTATCCAGTTCTCTGTATATATATATATATATATATATATATATATATATATATATATATATATATATATATATATATATATATATATATATATATATATATATATATATATATATATATATATTCCACAACTGCAAAACGACGGGCTCACCATAGCCCGTGCTACTTGCCCCGCTCCTGTGCCAGGTAAGTTACGGGCTCGCCATAGCCCGTGCTGCTTGGAACTTGTTGCGAGTAGCTGAATCTATAACAACAACTTGCAAAAAGAGGAAATGCATGAAGAAAACATGGTACGTACGATGGCGTCTGCCTCCAAGCCGGTGGCTACATCATCCCAAGGGGACAATGTTGAGCAGGAACGGCTAATGGCGGGTTCTCGGGGTCAATTTCCCGCCATTTTTATAGTAGAGAGAAGGGGCCTGTCAATTTTCCCGCGCTTTTTACCGCTCCCCCGCGGCTCCTAATGTACTTCTTCTCCCGGACCAACCCAGGCGTTTCATCTATTTTATATGAGTTTGCCATCGCTTTGGGATCTTTTCCGATGGGTTTAATGCTATTTTATACGAGTTTGGCCTTTCGACCTAACCTCGTTTTCTTTATTTTCGTTTTTTTCTGTAGTTTGAACATGCACTTTGAACAGTCAAACGTTGTATTGTTTGGGTGTATATGTGAGTTGCCAGTTAAACTTTCGGTGTTTTGGACATTTTTTTTGTAACTTGTTGCAGTTCAGTGCCTACAGAGGGCCCAGTGGCTTAATAGTCTACGTCCTCAGCTCGCAACCGAGAGAGCCATGCCCAAAATAGGTACCCTGGGAGTAAGGGAGCTGTTGTGGGTTGCATCAGTACTCTCTAGG